CTTTCCTACTATTCCCAGCTGCCACCATCCTAGCCTAGCCCTTTATAATTTCTTGCCTGGATTAGTATAGCAGCTTCCTGTTTTTCTTGCCTCCAGGTCCTTCCCACTCCAATCTGTTCTTCTTATGGTTGTCAGGTTTAATTTTATTAATGCATAAATGTGATCTTACCACTCTTCTGCTCAAAACCTTCCAATGGTTCCCTGTTGCCTGCTGAATAAAGTCCAAACTCTTTCATTCGTCTCCAGCCTTATCTTCTCCTTCTCCCCTTCATACACTCTTCCCTTTGGCCAAACTAGACTACTTGCTAATCCTCAAACACCTCCCAGACTTTCATCCTTCAGCCTCTTAGGTTGCTACTTATTACTGATATTTCTGGGAAGTTTTTTTTGTTTTGTTTTGTTTTTCTCCCACTCTTATTTTAGAACTGGCCTTTCTTGCCTTGCTGTTCCTATGGCTTTTGGGGTCCTTGGATGCCTTCGTAACCTAGCTTCCCCCTTTCCTTGCTCCTTGGGGGAAAAGGTACTCTCATCTCCCTGGCTTATTTCTTCACAATTTACAGAGGCTTCATGACTCTTTCCCTACAGGGCTCCAGCCTTAATTTCCAGTCAACAGACAGAATTGGTCCAGTTCAACTGTAGTATTGTATCCCCAGTATTTAGTACAGTGTTTAGTATATTTGTTTTTGTTATTGTTCACTCATGTCCAACTCTTCTTGACCCCGTGGACTATAGCATGAAGGTCCTTCAATCCTTCATTATCTCCCGAAGTCTGTCCAAGCTCATGTTCATTGCTTCCATGACACTATATATCCACATCATCCTCTGCTGTCCCCTTCTTCTTTTGCATTCAATCTTTCCCAACATCAGGGTCTTTTCCAATGAATCCTGTCTTCCCGTTGTTTAAGCTTCAGCTTTAGCATTTGTCTTTCCAATGAATAGTCTAAATTAATTTCTTTAAGTGTTGACCAATTTAGTCTCCTTGTTGTCCAAGGGACTCTCAAAAATCTTCTTCAGCACCATAATTCAAAAGCATCAATTCTGTGGAGCTCAGATTTTCTTTTTATATTCCAATTCTCATAGTTATTATATTATTTTTGGAAGAAGCATAGCTTTGACTGTATGGACCTTTGTCAGCAAGGTGATGACTCTGCTTTTTAGTATGCTGTCCATATTTGCCATAGCTTTTATTCCAAGGAGCAAATATCTTTTAATTTCATGACTGTAGTTGCTATCTGCAGTGATCTTTGAGCCCAGGAATATAAAATCTGACATTGCTTCCATTTCTTCTTCCTCTCTTTGCCAGGAAGTGATGGGACCAATTATCATGATCTTAACTTTTTTGATGTTAAGCTTCAAGCCAGCTGTTACATTCTCTTCTTTCACTCTCATCAAGAGGCTTCTTAATTCTTCTCCACTTTCTGCTCTCAGAGTGGTATCATCTGCATATATGAAATTGTTGATATTTCTCACAGGCAACCTTAATTCTGGCTTTTGAGTCATCCAGCTGTCATGTTGCATAATGTACTCTGCATATAGGTGAAATAAATAAGGTGACAATGTACAGCCTCATTATACTCCCTTCCCAATCTTAAACCAATCAGTTGTTCTGTGTTTGGTTCTAACTTTTGCTTCTTGTCCCATATACCCATTCCTCAGAAAACAAGTAAGATGATCTTGTACTCTCATCTCTTTGAGGACTCACCACATTTTGTTGTGATCCTCATAGTCAAAGGCTTTAATGTAGTCATGAAACAGAAGTAGATGTTTTTCTAGAACTCCCATGCTTTCTCCATAATATAGTAAATGTTGGCAACTTGGTCTCTAGTTCCTCTACCTTCTTAAAAACCAGCCTGTTCTTCTGGTAATTCTCAATTCACATATTACTGAAGCCTAGCTTGCAGAATCTTAAGTATAACTTTGCTGGTATGTGAAATGAGCACAATGGTTCAATTATTTGAACATTCTTTGGCATTGCCCTTCTTTAGGATTTGGGGTATAAATTGATCTTTTCTAACTCAGTGGCTGCTGTTGAGTTTGCCAAATTTGCTGGCATATTGGATGCAGCATCATTTTTTTAGGGTTTTAAATATTTCAGCTAAAATTCAATCACCTATGCTAGTCTTATTGTTAGCAATGATTCCTAAGGCCCACTTGACTTCATTCTCTAGGATGTATGGCTCTACATCAGTAACCATATCATGGTGGTTATCAATGATGTTATGATCTTTCTTGTATAATTCTTCTGTATATTCTTGCCACCTCTTCTTAATTTCTTCTATTTTTTTAAGTTCCTACCATTTTTGTCTTTTATCATGCTTATTTTTGCATGAAACATTCCTTTGATTCTAATTTTCTTGAAGAGATCTCTTGTCTTTCCCATTCTATTGTTTTCTTCTATTGCTTTTCATTGCTTATTTAAGAAAACCATATCTCTCCTTGCTGTTCTCTAGAATTCTGCATTCAGCTGAACATATCTTTCCTTTTCTCCTTCTCCTTTCCCTCTCTTTCTTTATTCAGTTATTTGTAAGGCCTCATCAGCAGTCATTTTGTTTTCTTGCTCTTCTTTGGGATTTTTTTTGTTGCTGCTATATAATATTGAAACTTTGTAGTTCCTTGGGTAGATCTCTACCAGATCTAATTCCTTTATTCTATTTATTACCTCCACTTCATATTCATAAGGGATTTTATTTAAGTCATACCTGTATGATCTAATGGTTGAGCCTACTTTTTCCAATTTGTTTAAATTTTGCAATAAGAAGCTCATGATCTGAGCCAGTCAGCTCCAGGTCTTGTTTACACTGACTGTATAGAGCTTCTCTGCCTTTGATTGCAAAGTATATAATCATTCTGATTTCAATATTGACCATCTGGTGATGTCCATGTGAAGAGTTGCCTTTTGGGTTATTTAAAAAAAGTATTTTCTATAACCAGCAAGTTATCTTGATAAAACTTTATTAGTTTCTGCCCCATTTCATTTTGTACTCCCAAGGCCAAACTTTGCTGTTATTCCAATTATCTTTTGATTTCCTACTTTAGTTTTCCAATCCTTTATGATGGACGTGACACCTTGTGTGTGTACAGTGTGTGTGCATGTGTTATTTCTAAAAGATGTTGTAGGTCTTCATAGAATTGAACAACTTTGACCTCTTAGCATCAGTGGTTGGAGCATAGACTTATATTACTGTGATATTGAATGTTTTGCCTCAGATTTGAACAGATATTCTGTCATTTTTAAGATTATCTCAGTACTGCTTTTCTCACCCTTTTATTGACTATGGGGGCTATTCCATTTCTTGTAAGGGATTCTTGCCCACAATAGTATACATAATGATCACCTGAATTAAATTCGCCCATTCCAGTCCATTTAAGCTCACTGACACATGAGATGTTAATGTTTAAACTTTCCATCTCCTGTTTGACCACATCCAGTTTACCTTGGTTCACAGATCTTATATTTCAGGTTCTTATACAATATTTATCTTTACAGCATCAGATTTTCCTTTTGTCATCACACACATTCATAGCTAAGCTTCCTTTTGACCTTAGCCCACTCATTTCATTCTTTCTGGAACTGCTTGTCTTCTGCTCTTCACCAGTAACATGTTAGACACCTTCAAAACTGAAGAGCTTATCTTCAAATGTCATATAAATTATCAATTTAGTACTGCCTATGGGGTATTCTTGGCAAAGACACTGAAGTGACTTGCCATTTCCTTCTCCAGTGGATAACCTTTTGTCAGAACTCTCTACTATAGCCTATCCATCTTGAGTAACCCTGCATGGCATAACTCATAGTTTCATTGAGCTATGCAAGCCCCTCTTCCACAACAAGGCATCGATCCTGGAGGGGACATAGCAAGCACTTAGTAAATTTTTGTTTCTTTTTTTTGCTCCTTCTTTGTATTTCCCTTAGCACTGGGTGCACAGACCCTGCTCAACAAATACTTGTTGGTTGCTATCCCAAAGCCATTTATCATTAGGTATGATTAGTGTAGGGCATTAGAAACAGCAGGCTCAGAAGGAGCGCTTGTCTTCTATTCCCCTAGAAAATAGGCAAGATGTCTCATGGGTCTTTAACCAAAACCACCAAGCACCCTGAAAAGGCTAATCCTGTTTCTATCTGCCTAGTTTAGGTTTGGATGACCTTTAACTCACAGAAGAGCTAGTGGTTGATTTGTTGGGCCACCATGCCTCATGATGGAGTTTTAATAGTGGAGTTCTTAGATGGAAAGTAGACCAAACAAGTCCACATTCAAAGAGGGCCCTATGTAAAGTGAAAGCTGGTAAAATATTGTAAAGAGTAAATCAATAAGCATTTATTAAGCACCTATTATATTCCAAGCACTTTACAAATATTATCTCATTTATTCTTCACAACATCCCTGGGAGGTAGGTGCTATTATTATTCCCATTTTACAAATGAAACTGAGGTTAAATGACTTGCCTAAGGTCCCACAGCTAAGTAAGTGTCTGAGGCTGGGTTTGAACTCAGGTCTTCTTAATTCAAGCCCAGGGATTCCATCCACTGCCCTACCTAGCTGCCCAGATACTGCCAAAAAAGAAAGGTATAAAATAGACAAATGTAGTCTCAGACAAACACTTTCCACATTGTGCATCAACCTAATACCAGAGGCCTGACTGGAAGACAGGGTCCCAACCACAGATAATCTGTAAACAACAGTAAATAATCCCATTGAACATTTTGAGAGTTGAACTATAGACTCCACCCTTCGGAAGCTAAAGCTGGGAAAAAAATCCCCACCAGATTAAATCCATCCTTCTTAAGCTACTAGCTGTTAGCTACAAAGTGGGTCTCTGTCATCATCACAGCTGGTCAAATGAATAACAATTTGGGGGCTATGGTGATGGTGAGCTGGGGTGTCATCTGACCAAATCTTCTTGATCTAATTAGTTGCCAGCAGCCTCCTGACTCCTCTGGTATATTCTCAACTAATGCACTGGAAGTGGAAAGCTTTCCCATTCTTCTCCGTCTTTGTGGGATGGTTCCAAAAGAGGAACAGGATGCCGCTGGACAGTCATCTTATTCTCCAAGCCCTGACAAGGAAACACTCCAAGTCCCAGATGCAGAAGAGCCTGCCACCCGACGGTCTCTTTACTTGCCGAGCATTGAAATGGAGTCACTCTGCCTCTCAAAGCTTCCAGTATTTGTACATGAAAACACATCATCAAAAAAGAATTTCTGCTACCGTGGCTTTGGGAACATCTTCCCATACCTCTTTTTCATCTCTGTCTTGGTCATCTATGCCTTTCTGGGAGCAGTCCTCTTTCGTGTTATTGAGCGTGGTAAAAATGACAGCAATGTTGAATTTGAGGCATTTTTGAACAAACTCTGGACTTTCTATGAAAGAAATAAAGCAGGTATGTGAAATTCTACTCTGAAAAGTGATTTCTGACCAGGCTGAAATGTTTAGGGAACACTTGACTTTTTAAAAAGATGTCCAAAGGCATGTGTTTAGAAGGTTTTTGGTAGATATTTTTTAAAGTGAACCTTTTTTGTTTTCTTTTGCAGAGTTTAGTTTTCTGAAATTAGCTCTCCATTGTCTTTAAATTAAGTGGTTGCTGTGTCATTCAGCTGATAGAATCTCTCAGGGATCCAGTCTGGGAATGTGGCCACCAGCCTTATCCCTTAGGCAGAGCTGGAGGAAAGTGGGACTGCTCCTTTAGGTGGACAGGTTTACAGCTCCCTAACTATTTCTTGCTTAGCTCTCTGGCATGAGAATTTGTTGACTATTAGGTTATCCCAAGGAGAGTTGGAATAAGTCGCAGGGGAAGAGGCTGTTCTGAGTGAGCTGCCAGCTCCCTGGAGAGAGCAATTTGATGAAGCTGACATCATGAAATATCAGAGCATTTACATGCTAAGGCTTTGCTCTAGGTAGTTATAGCTAGCAACTCTGGTGCCCATGAACAATCCATTTGGGGGTACTGAAAGAGATCTTCTGGGCTATTAGGGTGCAGGCTTACTAGGGGAAAGACTTCTGGTCCTCCAGAAAAGTCTACCTTGAATACCCCCCTACCCCAAACTCTGGACAGTAACCCTTGGCTGCCCGGCTCTTGAGATGAAACAGAGTAGGAGTAGAGGGAATCAGAGGCATCAAGCAGAGATCATGACAGTGGGAAAAAAATCTGAGCTTTTCCAACTATACCATTGGGTGGGGCCAAGCAAGGAAATGATTATGCTAAGAATAAAGGGAATTGGGTGGATGACCTCAAGATATGGCAACATAGGGCCCACAGATCACATACAAGGACAAAGCTCCTCTAATCTCTGCTGTTGTTAGGTTGCTGGGCTTTGGTGCAAGAAACTGACCAGAAATGCTTTTTCTGCTTAATGTGTTCAATCCTTTCCTTTTTGTTGAGTTCAAGGGAAGATTTCATGGTGAAATAAGAGGGTAGTCCTAGTTCTACTATTGACTTGCTAATGACCTTGAACAAGCCACTTTTGTGTTTTTTTGGGGGGGGTGGTTTTTGTTTTCTTGGTGACAATTCCTATTAAATATTTTGGTCTCAGGAAAGATAACATTATGTGATAAAAAAAAAAAAAACAGGTTCTAATCCTATATCTGCCATGATGGCCAGGACTATAATTCCTAAACTGGTAGGGACCTAATAGGACACTCCCCCACCCATCCTACTCCTCTACCCTGACTCCATTTTACAGATGAGGAAACTTGAGACCTAGAGAGAGGTTAAATGGCTCTGCTCACTGTCATACAGGTTGTAAGTAGCAGAATTGGGATTATAACCAAAGCCTCTGATGCCAGATCCAGGACTGGTATGTTTGTTTATTTGTTCTTGTTGTGATATCTCCTCCCTCTAACTAGCACTTTGTAGCTTGAAATAAAACACTCCCTGAGCCTCGTTAGCCTCATCTGTCAAATGGGGAGTTTGAACTGGAGAGTTTCTTAGGACACTTTCTTCTCCATGTGTCTATAGCAAATGTGGAAGTCCTTGGAAGAGTCAAAAAACACTTAACTGCTCTACAGATGTCAGGTCTTGTCAGTTTCACAAGTAGTGCTTCAGGAATGCTATTTCCTTGGGTATTCAGCTTATCTCTTTGTCTGTAAGAACAGGACTGAATGGCCTCAGGTCACATGACCCAAGCTGTGACCTTCCCCTTTCAGACTGGGTTGGAAAAGGTGCCTTGTGAGAGAGCTGGTGACTGAGCACCTTCTCTGGAGTTTGATGACCTGGGTTGAAATCCAGCCTTCTGCTGCTTGGGAAAGTCCCTGGATCTCAGTTTCCTTATCGGTTCAATGAGGGTGGTTGAACTACAGATGAGCCCTTCCAAGTCTACATCTATGATAACAATGATCTCCCTATGTGAGGAAAAAAAATCTGTCTAATGGCTATACTAATGGCCCTTAGGGAGATCCAGCTTTGTCTGGAATCTGCCCTAGTCAGATGTCTATAACCATGACATCCTGGCCCACAAGGGTTCAGAAGAGCAAAAGTGGAGCATAGGAGCAAGGTTGGGTGGATGACATCTGAGATTCTTCCAATCTGCTCAGACGAGGCTAGAATAATTGGCCAGATGGACTGGCTGAGAAACCAGGAAGCTTTCTTCAAGAGACTGAAACTTGGAAAGTGTCTGACTGTGCCTGTCAGTTGAATTCCGAAAAAGAAAAAGTCTTTGTTACTTAAATTCTGGCTTTGAGACCCCCCAAAATGAGCAGATACTGTCAAATCCAAACATAATTACTGAATTCAATCAGTCCTACTATTTTGTCCAAACTTGGGTTTTCAAGGATTTGGGGAGATCCTGATTAATAAACTCCCATTTCCTAATGCAGAATTGCAATTCTTCAGCACTTTGTAAGCTAGAAAAAAGTGCTTGGAGGCTCTATGAAGTTAAATAATTTGCTTAGGATCACATAGCCAGTGTATGTGCAAGGCAAGATTCAAACCCAAGACATGCTGACTCTAAAGTCTCCCTTTTTTTTTTAACAGTAGACCATATTGCCTGCCTCTTTTAGTGATATTCACTCCTTATAAAAGATCATTTCTTGCATCCCAATTCTAGGCATGGCCTCTACCCTTAGCCCTACTCTAGCTTCTTGAATGAGATGGGAGTCAGCAACTCTATTCCTTCTGATGAAGAATCATTAAGCCTTGCCATTTGTCTTATCACTTCTATCCTAAGGTCATCCAGCCCTTGCCATCTGACCTGATGTTTTACGTTCCAGATCCCAGGCGCAATCCCAGGACTGACCACACCTGGACCTTTCCACCACCCTGGCAGCTCAGCTATACTTTCATGTGCTGTCTCTCCCATTTAGAGTGTGAGCTCCTTAAGAGCAAATACTGTCTTCACTTTTGTTGTTGTTGTTGTTTCTATATAATAAGTGCTTAGGGCAGCTAGGTCATGCAGTGGATAGAGCACCTGCCCTGAAATCAGGAGTACCTGAGTTCAAATCCAGCCTCAGACACATAACACTCACTGGCTGTGTGACTGGGCAAGTCACTTAACCCCAATTGCCTTTAAAAAAAATCAGTCATTGATCTAATAAGTGTTTAATAAATGTTTTTTTTTTCCAATCATTCATTCATTACTTCATTCATAGAGGCAGCTAGGTGGTGCAATGGGTAGAGTGCTCAGGAAGATACATTCAAATCCAGACTCAGACACTTACTAGCTGTGTGACCCTGAGCAAGTCACTCTACCTTAATAGGGATAATAATAGAGCCTGCCTCACAGGGATGTGGTGAGGACCAAATGAAATAATACTTATAAAAGCACTTAGTACAGTATTTGGCATATAGCAGAGGTTTAACAAATGCTTTCCCCCTCCCTTATTTGTAGAAATTACAGAATTTGTAGAAATAACATATATGCATATATATGAATATACAAATGCATATATGTGTGTATATATATCTGTTTCTATATCTATCTATCTATCTATCTATCTATCTATCTATCTATCTATCTAT